CACTGGAGCCTGAGGCAACACAAAAATATTGGCAATATTAGCCTCTTTATTTAAGGTTTGGTACTTTTTCCAGCATTCTGGCATTGCTTTCACTTTTTTCTATAAAATTACAATAATGCTGATCTCACTTCTATTTGTCAGCCCCCTTAATCCCACCCCTGAGGCGAACACCTCCTCCCTCCCCAGCCCCAGCTCTGCTGTTCACTGGTGATTTCCGCACAGAAGATCCCAGCACAGTTATTTCACAGCTCACTTCTCAGTCCTCTAGCACGACTCACTCTGAATCTCTCTGAGAAGTCCGAGTTCATGAACCTGGTAGTTACTCTACGACTTCCCAAACAAGTGCGAAGTAACATGAGAACATGAATTAACTGCAACTACCACCGCAGACCAGCTCCCCACGACATGTGGATATATTCAAGGAGAACACAGTGATTAGCTCCAATTAATAATCCCTAACCGTCACATTTTACAAATGACTCTACGAACGATATTTAATGAGCCAAAAGATGGCGTTCTTTATTTTATGTTAAAAATACCCAGGCTTCTGCTAGCATTTTCCAGAAAAACTCAATCTATAATGTTCCAGCTAACTAGGGTACTCTTATTTGAAGGCTGGCAGACCCAGTTTCAAACCAAGAAGAGAGACACTGGGGTAACCGTTCTATTTTCCTTGTGTATTTCTTTGATCTGACGCTACCCTGCACAGCACTGAATGCGCTAACACCAAGGTGATGAAAGGAGCCAGATGTGACTTTTGGAAATGCCTTTTGGGGGAGCACCACTATGACACAAACGTGGATGATGCACCCTCCCCAGCACACTGCATTCGGAACAAGTTCAGTGTCTCTATTCTCTATTACTATGCCTGAATGTGTCAAGGGAACAACAAAGACAGTAGCTCCAATTTTCTTAGATGGATTTAGTAGGCCTGGACCACCAACATTACTTCCTTATACTGGCAAGGAAAGCTGTTAGCTGTTAATGTGTAATGTTTATTACAGCTGGTAGACAGGGTTTAGATAAAGAGTGACACAAGCTGGTATTTTATAACATTTTATATTTATAATGATGCACTTCAAAATGTCACTTTTAGATAGACAGCAAGCAAAAATCTCGAAGGCAAGTATCCACCCACCCGAGCCTTTGTAACTCCCATGACTTTTCCATGTTTCACAAACAGTATGCTACGTACGTACCTCCTAAGTGGAGTACAGAAATTTCTTTGTAATTTCAATTTTAATCCTTAGGAATGATGTCAAAATAACTCACATAGGACCAACCCTCTCACTCCTAACAATTATACAGTCTGGACAAAATACAATGATCAGAGAGCCAGTCAAAAGCAGACAGAAACTAGATACAATGTGAGTGCTGAGGAGAAAACAGGAAGCAAACCATAGGAAATCATATTTACAGTGTTTTTCCCTGAATGTGCTTCCCAGACCGCACAGCAAAAGGGGAAGAATGTAAGCCAACTGTGGACATCGGAGTTGTCAAAGCAGCTGGAAGTTGAGAAGAGAAAGCCTAGAAAAGACAGAACCACTGAAGGAGCAGCTCTAAATGTGTACGCGACTCTGCTCAGATCCTTCAGTGATTCCTGGCTGTGCAGGAGCAAGATAAGACTCAGGAGTCCAAGGGACAGTGAGAACTAGAAGGCCGAAAGCCCAGCGGAAGAATTCAAGTCCTGCCAGATGAGAAGAGCTTGACAAGCGGTACCTCCGGGCTCGTAAACCCTTCACACTTTCCACTGAACTTTCTGAAAAGTCCCATCTTGGAAATTAGGACAACATCCCGGAGCTAAGCTTTGTGCTGTTAGACTAAGAACAAAACAGAAGCAGACTCACCCTTAAAAAGCCAAAACTCAAGGTTCCACGGGACCCAGGTGATCTGCCAGGAATGGAACTGACTACTAGAACAGAACTCAACCTGCTTTAGTGACAGGAAAACTTTAAAGTGCATCACCCTAACAGCCAGTCAACAATTAAAACCTACTACACATGGGAAGTAAAGGAAAACCACCGACAGTCAAGAGAAGAAGCTGCAGACAGAAAAATAGCCACCGAAAGGCTACATGTTAAAGATTGTCAGATAGGAACTTTACATAACTCTGATAAATATGGCCTTAAAATATACACTGTGTAAACTGTTCAACTCATAACCTTACCCACCCTCAGCATCCCAGGGACTTGAGTTGCCCGTGATTTTTAATCAAAATGGGATTTGGAATGGTTTATGTTTGAAAGCCTGAAGCAAACGACTTGAAAGTGATTAATGACATCCAAACTTAATTATACTGTATATTTATACCTCCCAGTAGGACAAGGGAGAGAATAAAATGTCTTATTTCCCTGTAGTGAGCGAGCTTTATTAAGATCTGACAGCAACTATTTGGCAGCAATAATTGAGTTTTATGCAAGATTACACAGGTTTCCTTTGTCTGGCATCACCATCTGATCACACACTGACAGCGTACTCGGGCTCCTAACGGTGAGAAAATGGTGAGCTGTGTACGAAACCAATCTTTAAAAGTGCTTATACACATCTGTCAATGTGATCTTATCAAGGGTTTCTCTAATTTATATAAACAACCATTACAGTTTAGCTGAATCAGTAGCATAATGCCCTTTTAACAGGTAGTCAGACAGCCTCGACTTTAAAGTATTTTCCACCACTTCGCTCCCCACCAAAGGAATGTGGCTTCACCTTTCTTTTCTTAATCCACTAAGCAATCTCATGAATGAAAACATAATCACATGCCCTGCGTGCCTGATACAATTTTTATAAACCTTCTAAGTGCTATAATACGTATTTACTATTTTGTGAAAATATTTCCTTGAACAAGCCGGATTAACTTCTTTCCCCAAAGTGGGGGAAAAAGCAAGGTTGGTAAAAATGTACTGAAAAGAATGCCAACTACACGTTATCTTGGCTTAAAATTCTGCTTAAGAGTCAGTGGTGTCTGGCACAGCATTTAGGTTATTATCTCCGACTCTGGGCAATATTCTTATTTCTTTGGACCCTACCAGTCCTGAAGGTGCTAATATTACCTCTACTCAGGTAAACCCTCTCTTTTTACAACTTCTGTTATTCATAGTGGTCTCCCAAAAAGATGGCTTTGCCAATTATTATGTTCCTTCCTTGCTCTTTCTCACGAAGTGTCTGCCTCACAGCAGTGTTAAAAGATACCTGAGGGACCCATACAGATTGCATTCTATCTACAATTAGCCATATCCAGGCATAGAATTTCAGCAGCCCCATTTCATCAACCACAAGGAAGTTTCTGCCTGCTAGCAGTGTTCATCCCAAAACTTGAAGGCAACCTTGCCTTTCTGACCTTGCTTGGAGAGTCTGAGATTAGTGACTCACACATCTGCTTCCCCCACAAAGTAACCCTTAGTATATGTTGGTAAGGGCTCAGAGTCTGTGCTCTCCTAGAAACCGTCTCTCCCTATGACAGACCATAAATATGTAGGTCACCCATGAGAACCAATGAAAGACTCTCCCTACACAAGCCACCAAGCTGAATTATGTCCAAATAGCTCACCTCTCTGTGTGGTACTATCATCCTGGATGCTCCATGAAACAAAATTCTCAAAGGAAAGAACCAATATCTCACTATTTAAGACAAGTAAATGAAGAGACATGTGAATAATTATCCATGCTAAGCCTTTTGGTTCAAGAAACACACTGTTAAGCAATAAATACCAAGTACTGTACTAGGCATTAACTATGCAAAAGTACCGAAGACCAGGACCTCACAATCTAGTGAGAGACAAAAACATATCAAAAGGTGATCCCAATGTAATGGGTTAACTACTATAAGAGAGCTGAAGAGTAGAATAAAGCAAGCAACTAAGGCACCAGACATCTTAAAGAGACTAAACAGGATTTCCGGTGCCAATTCTAAGATGTTGAGTTTCCTCCCTTATTTTCTCCATTTGTATTTCCATTCTTGGAGGAGAAGGCAGCACATGCTTTTTTCCAGCTAGAAAAACCAAGGAGCAGTCTATAATCAGTTACATAAAATCTTTCATTTCCAATGTTATCTTTATTCCAATACAAACAATCCATTGTTAAGCTTTACTGTCATCACTGCTTAAAATATTTTCACATTGCTGAAGAAAAGTGCTTCTGACTTGGAAAAACAGTTTTGTTTATGACATTAACAAACTTAGATCCTGGTGTCAGAATGAACGATGAGGGCAAAAAAATTATAATTAATTACATGAAGAAAAGGAAGAGAAATTTCACATTATTAAGTTTTATTTTTCCAACATTTTCCCTGAAATAAATGGGCACATGTTACTATCAAAACTTTTCAACTGAGGCAAAAGGAAAAAACTGGTCTACTAAAAATCTAGAGAAGCTATTTATGAAATTATCTCGGAGCCTTCCTGAAACAAAAAGGATGGCTAGACTAGATGGTTAGAGAAAAAGAAAAGAGATGCTCTTGAGCCAAGAACTATTCTGTGTTTCCTAGTCCGACCCCTTCCTTGTCTCCTTTTTTAACCCCTCAGGTAGCACACACCCACTGCCCCTACAACTACTCCATCTTTCTTCTTCACAATTTCACCCTGAGGACTGGATTTCCTATACTAGGGGCGAGGGTTAGTATGATGATTATATTCTCTTATAGTAGGCGGAATGAAAGTTAATAACTATTTGGCTTGACTTAAAAACAAGATCATAGCTAACATGTTCAGGAGAGATTCTAAGGCTATACTTTAAACTGAAAGATGGAAGAAACATACTCAATATATATTAACTAGCCATTCATTGAAAAGTCTTATTCATAATGAAAAAAAATGGTAAAACAGTAAGTTCTCATTAATCATTTATTTGACATCCATATCCTTTCACCCTTGTCACCCACAAAAAGTAATCAGAGCAGTTTAAGAACCAGTAACACTTTACAGATGTCTTAAAAACAGAGGGCAACCTAACTGTGTCCAGCATTCCAATGTGGAAAAAGGAAATACATGAAAAGAAAAACTTACTTGCAGTATCCTGTGCCATTGTGGAAGGTTACACAAATTCCTTCATTCACACAGGGCTCGTAGTCATCTCGACATTGCAATGCTAAAACAAAGGCAAAAAGAAAAAAACAGCACATTAGAAATAAGCCATTAATCGTAACCCTCAGATACCAAAGAACCATCATCCAAGTCAACCTTCAGCCCACATCCAATCTGACCGGCTTTCTCTTGAGAGTTGTAATCTCTTTCTAAAACTTTGGCTTTTAGAGTCTTGGAAACACAAAAATTCATTCCAAAATTTACCTCCCATATCCATCACCAAAATGTACTATGTAGGTGAAAACTGGAAAGGCAAGACAAAAAGAAACCTAGTCTAACCATCAAAATCAAAATTGAAGTTCACCGACTTTCCTTGAGGGTCATTAAGATGTCCCTCTTCTCTGATGGTTTGGGCACAAATCCCCGAAAGAGTGAGAAGTCTCCACCTTCAGGTACTCTAGCCACAAAACTCTATGCACGTACTATGCAACATCAGAGGGTGTGGGCTTGCCTGTCCTGAGCAGTACAAACTGTCCTTCTTTTCAAAGGGCTGGGCCACAAGCAACTCTTCCATGTAAGAAGCTTTTGTTTTCCCTCTATTGTATGATGTGGTGAAATTACTGGAGAACATGATTACAGGAACCCCATCATCCTTTAAATAATATTGCCTTAAAAATACCAACAGTAACAACAGCTAATAAATACCACTAAAATACCAAGCTCTAAGCACTTTCAGATTATCCAATGCAATCTTCAGTCCTAAGAAGCAGCTGACTTCATTACACTATTCCACTGGTGAGGGAACAGAGAGGACAAATGACCTGTCTATTATCACACCTGTGAGTTAAAGAGGTGGGATGTGAACCTAGGAAGCCCAGATGCTGAGACGGTTCTCTTACATACACTGTTTCCCACTACCCGTCACTCTCCTCCACAGGATAGGATGTTACTGAACCCATTTACCAGAAAATGAAGGCCAGAGGTTCCTTACACCACCAGCTGTGGTAGCACTGAGCCTAGAACTCAAGTCTCTAAGCCCAACCCGTCTCCAGTCTCCAAGACAGCTGTTGGCATCAAACAATCAACCACTGGGCTGCAGGCAAACAGGCAGATTCAGGAAGAGGCTCATCATCTTGTCCATATCCCACTTCCCTGTAGGGCTCGAGCGCTCCCTCTTCCCACACTGATAAGCCCAATGCAACAACTATAATTAAAACAGTTAATGTCAGGTTATTTCCTCCATATACAAGTTCTCAAACTGATTTTTTTTTATTCTCTTTAGACACTTTTATTAGTTTCAATGAGAACTTCCTGGCTTCTATTTGCTTTTTTTCTTTAAATAAAAAGGAAAATTTCTCAGTAGGAAAGGAATGTCCTGCAGGCATACAGCAAGCTGACGCTCTGGCCCCCTATGGGAATCCTGCTGCAATGGAGGGCGTCAGGAGGCCTGCAACGGCCTCTACCACTGCTAGCCCTACCTTGCTGTGTGACTGTGGGCAAGGCACAATCTCGGGGCACAGTTTTCTACCTGTACCTAAGCGGGAGAAGGACTAAATGCCCCAAAGGTCCCCTGTGATCCAACAGTGACACTTCCTCATGGAAAGTACATACATGGCATGCCCCATACCTGTGGAAAGCTATCCAGGAGGGCATAAGTACCTGGCCTCTTTGACTCAGAAAGCCCTGGAGGGCTGGGGGTGGAGAGAGCCTATTCCTATTCCATGCCTGGCAAATCATTACAGTGACAGGTTCTGAGAAATACAAACAACCCTAAAATCAATGTGTGACAATCAACCTAGCAAATAACTTTACAGCCTAGCTTTAATGAACCAATCCAATTCAGTGACCAAAAAGGAGGCAGGCTTACCAGGCTGATAATTAATGATATTTGGGTGATTTGTGGGATCATGCTACCTTGAACCTTTACCATTTACTAAGCTAGGGTTCTCAAACTTTGGCGCAAATTAGAATCACCTGGAAGCCTTCTTAAAACACAAGAACACTGTACCCAACCCCAGTTTCTAATTTAAGTAGTTCCATGGGGGGCCTGAGAATGTCCTTAAGTTCAAAGGCAATGCTGACGATACAGGTCTGAAGAACCACATTTTGAGCAGAGACTGTCCATCTTAGGAAATCCCCTCCAACCATATTCTCCAGCAGAGGTCTGGAATCCTCTAGGTGGTATCACACCGCCTGAACAAACAAAAGAAAAATAAAGTAAAATTTAAAACTCACAACTGCACTCCTGGCCTATTTCTACATGAATACTATAAGTATCTGCCATATAAAGATAAGTTAGAACTTTGATAACCAAATATGATACAAGTGAGAGTAGGAAAGGTCTTATCTCAAAATCTATTCTCCCCCAAAGTAACACATTTCAATCTGACAAGAAAACTTTAAGGCAGAGTCACATTCGTACAATGAAAGTAAAATCAAATGACAGCCAGAGAAGTGATGCTTAAATTGATGTTTTAATGGAAGCCAAGAAAATAGTCTCTCACAGTAACTCTTTCCCACAATTTTCTTTTTAAACCACACACAGTGGGCATTCAATTTATCAATGACTGAGTGCAAGCAATCTTACATCTGTGTCTCTGTGTGTCTGTGCATGTCACATGCGCACACACACACACACCCCACACACACACAAAAAAAAAAGGCCAAAGAGAAGCACTGGAGGGTATTCAGTCTCCTCTATCATTTGTCAACATGGCACGAAATCTAGAAGCCACCTTCCCATGTGCACACATTTTCAGGGCAGTACTGGGGGGACCAGCTGTCTAGTAGCACAAACACACTCAGAGGGGGTGTAATATGGGCAGATGCAGGCCCTGATGGCGGGGATACTGCAACTCACAGAACAACGTGCCTGTCTCAGGAACCGTTTTTCTCATAGGGAGAGACGAGTAACCAAAGGAGTAAGTTCATCTATTGCAGGCAGTGGTACGTTCTGTTAGGAACAGACCCAGTTGCCGCGAAGGCGGGGGTGAGGTGACCTCCGAGGGGAGACTGAAGTGAACAAGGGTCTTGAGATAGGAAAAAGAGCACCCCAGAGGGAGGAAATGACAAATGTAAAGGCCTTGAGATGGGAGTGAGGTATTTTAGGCTCACAATGGCTACAGAGCTGTTAAGCGAGTAATGGAAGACAGGACAGTGGCAGGCAAGGGTTGGATCCCAGGAAGTGTGGTGACAGCTTCCACTCTAAGAGGAAGAGTGTTCATTGGGTTGTGTTAAGAACAGAAACTTAAAAGCAAAATGACACAATTTACTACAGGATGTGATTATCTATAAATGGCATAAATTATTCCCATTTGCCATCTCTAGCCATCTAATAAAAGACATACTAAACTACTGTAAACAAAACAAAGCTCACTGCTCTTCTTCTAAAAAGGAAATCAACCAATGTTTCACTAAAAGTAAACTGAACCTTATATATGGGCAAAACTGCCCTTCAACCTGAATATAATTCTACCAGTATTTGTTGATCGACTACTGTGAGGTTGGCAATGCATGGAAATCAAACACAAACCACACAGTTCTTACAATCACATGGAGGGAAGTTAAAGTTAAAGACAGATGGACAGGTACAGGGATTTAGCTCAGTGGTTCCGCCACCTGCTTTGCAAGCCCAAGGTCCCGAGTTCAATCTCTGGTACCAAAAAAAAAGAGAGAGAGAGAATGACAGTCCTTACACAGATGACTCTAAGAAAAATAAAAACAACATCAAATTGCTTTTTTTAGATACCTATAGCACACCCTCCTAATATCAATGTCAGAACCACTCCACAAAGAACTTCCAAGAAATACAACACCAGGGCCTGGGGATTTATTTAGTTCAGTGGTTCTGCCGCCTGCCTCACAAGCACAAAGTCCTGAGTTCGATCCCCGGTACAAAAAAGAAATATAACACCAACCCTCATTTGGTACTAACTGTAACTCAGTCCAGACAAGGCTGCTAGTGTTTATTCCAGTTTATCAGCCTCAACTGTACACAAATACTAAACACAACAAGTAAGCGGTCACTGATTTTCACCAGTTCCAATGCCTCATAAACGTATCTATTCGGGGATAGGCTGAAGGTATTTAAGACACAACAGGATGCTCCTCCTTGAAATTTCCTCTAGGCTCTACCTAAATTTTCCAAGGTTTTTCAGTCCCAAGACAGCTACATATCATGGGCTTAAAAGCCTCCCTTTGTTTTAGGAATCTCTAACATGAGTAATTAAGTCCAGTACCCAGACAGTGTAATCCGAGCAGCCTTCAATGTGTTTCACTTGTTGCACTGACATGTAATGGTTTCAAGTTGGCATTACTTGTTCCTTTGTAGCCTCTTCAAATAGGCCTCTGTCTGCTATCTGTCTCACATGACTCCCCCACTTCTGTTTGCAGCAGGCATCTACTGCTCACTGAGAAGAGCCTTTACTGCCTTGAAGGTCTGTGTGCCTGAAATAAGTGAAGAAGAGTTGTACAGGGCTTTCCTCCCCCTTCGGCATTCATGCGAATTGGAAGGCCCAGTGTTTGAGGGGGAGGCAGCCCGAGTTTCCACCTAAGCCTGGGCTAGAGTTGGCTGCCTTTGCTTCTGGCACACGGCCTGTGGAAGGGGTGCAGTAAAAGGAGCACAGCTAAGTCTTCTAAAATGACTGCTTGCATTATTACCAAAAATAGGAGAACTGAGGGCAGACAGGGAGACACCAGGGATTTGCAATAATTCTGCAGCGCCCTACAATTTCAAACAACAAAGCATTTACTAAGTTTTTTATTACATTCTTTTGGGATGAAGCCATGAAAAAAAAAAAATCCAAACAAACAGAAGTGCAGAAACTTCAAATCCCAAGTACTACATTTAAATAAAAATGAAGTGGAGAAACAGCTGTCTTCTTCCTTGAAATTAGTCTTAATTAAAAGGAAAAAAGTGGGGGGGGTGCAATAAGGGAGACACCAGTTTTATTTTCCAGGTAAGGTGCCAAGGATTTTTATGCTCTTCCCAGAACACTACCTAATAGAAAACGTGTTTTCTTAAAAGATGCTGATATCAGATCCAGGGGTAAGGCCCAAGCTAAAAAACACAAATTTCCAAAACTAAAAAGTATGCCTCAATT